ATGTTTTATGACTCTCAAAGCCGTGATTCCCATTCACTTCCATTATATAACTGATAGACTGCAACGGTTTGAGTTAAAAATCTTCGTTTGTGTTCTACTGAAGAAACAAAGTCACCTACATCTCGGATGCCCTGGGGGTAAGCAGATAAACATCAAATTTTCATTTTTGGGTGAACTATCCCTTTAAGTCAGCCAAACTGAATTTACTAAAAGCACAAACTCTGGCGTACCCTTCCTGTTGGACCTGACTAATGACAACACCACTGCCTCCTTCTCTCTGCCCTGGAAGCCATCAACAGACTTGATCTCCAGCTCTGCATGTTTATGAGACAGCTTCTGTCTCAAAAGATCCACCTTAAACAGACAAAATCTAATTTTTTTTAATGCATGACTGCTATTTTTACTGAAACAGCAGTGAAGTCACTGCTTTGCAGGCATATATATAAAAATGTGCTCTTTTACACATCAGTTCTTTGAAAAGTACCTCACCTGGAGATTATAGGGTGCAATAATCGCAATGTCCTTGACTTGAACTCCAGCCTCAGTAAGAGCCTTTATATGAAGAGCCACAATGTCTACCTCTCCTGTGGAGCAATAGAGAATTAAAAAAAAAAACATTCAGAAGGCATTTCATAGCTTAATTAAGCACTAATATTGTGTTTGGAGCTGATATCAACCTTGATTTCCTTTGGACTGCTCATCTGTTTCCTCCATTTCATTCAGGCCACAGCTTGCAGTGTCAATGAGCAGAAGAGGAATTCTGGTTTCCTCAACATCAGCAACACCAGCCAGGTCTCTGTTCAAGATGCAATCAGTTATCTTCAGATGTATTTCTCTATATATAGAGGTTGCTAGCAGACTTAAAATATACACTACCATTCAAAAGTTTGGGGAAGGTAAGGGTTTGAAAGAAGTCTCTTATGCTAACCAAGGATGCATCTATTTGATCAAAAATATAGTAAATATTGTGAAAGGTTTCCATTTTAATATATTTTAAAATGTAATTTATTCCTGTGATGGCAAAGCTGATTTTTCAGCAACCCCTACTCCAATCTTCAGTGTCACATGATCCTTCTAATATGCTGATTTGCTGCTCAAGAAACTTTTCTTATTATTATCAATGTTGAATATTTTTGTGGAAACGGTGATACATTTTTTCAGGTCTCTTTGGTGAATAGAAGTTAAAAATTCTTTGAATAAAAATGTAAATCTTTTGTAACATTATAAATATTGCTACCTACTGTTACTTTGTTTTGATACATTTTGATAAATTTTTGCCGAATAATAGCAACTTACCCCAAAACTTTGGACTGGTACTGTAAAAAAACAATCAGTTGAAAAAACCTTATAGAATCCCCCTCAAACAATGTACTTGGAATGTTTTTCAGAAACAATTAACATATTTTATATTACATACCTAAGCAAGTATTTCTCCACTGAAGTGTGTGCGATTAGTTTGCCCTCATACATCTGCTCTGAAGCCCACTGCATGATGGCACTATTCATACGGTACTGAGTGGTCAACATTTGAACCACTGAGTCTCCGTATTTCTTTATCAGCCTCTCCATTAAGCTGACAGACAGGCCTTCAGATGCAGCACTGTGAAAGATATAAATAACATTTATTACATTTCAACTAAACATTCATGCAATTCATGTAATAAAAAACATGAATAATCTGAAATACTGACCAAAAATATCATGTATATTAATAGTTATATCATGAAAAGAAACCGTTAAGAGCTCATCAAGAATAGATACCATAAAGCAAATAATTCACAACCGTAAGATATATTCCTTTTCCTTCATACCTCTGTGATTTGATCGTTGGTGGCAGCTGTTTGTAATCCCCAGCCAGAATGCACTTGCGTGCTTTGAGCAGAGCGATCCAACAGCTGCTCTCTAGAGCCTGAGCACACTCATCTATCACCACCAGGTCAAAATGATCATTGGGAAGATGTTTGAGAGGACCATCATCAGAGGCTCCTATATTACGCAAATCAATCATATCTGAGTTTAAATCAGGCATAAACAAACAAACATATCGCATAATAAAATTGATGACTGCTAAGAAAGGTTTCCTTACCAGTGTTAGTTGCTAGAATAACATCGGATCTTTTCAGGATCTGAGTGATAGCTGTTTCCTCCCTGGTCTTTAGCTCTCGCCGCAGTTCCCTGATTTCCCGTCTCAGATTGCTCCATTGGCCTTTGTCTCGAGCCTTCTTCATTTCATTCTGTCAATGCATTTATTTATTTATTTTTTTAATTTTGACTATTACAACAAGGCCCCAACACATATGTGAATACTATATAGTCTTCTGTGTCATATTGGATATGCACATTTATAAGGTCTCTAAATTATCAACATGTTCAAAACTTTCCTCATAAACCTGTTGAACACAGTCTTCCACATGTGCCTTCTCTCTAACTGATAGTTCATAGTTTTTTAGCAAGTAAAAGACCTTTTAAAATAATCATAAAACGGTCCACTTCTGGTTGTGATACACATGTATTTTTGCTGTGAAATTACAGATTTTTACATTTCTTTTATATCGTTGGTAATATTTTAAGACGAACACTTACTGAACTGAAGCAACTTAGCTTTACTTGATTATCCATACACCACTTTTAGAAAAATCATGTTAAATGTGAGTATCAAATCTTTCAATCATTATTGTATTGCATGTTTTGCTCCCTACAATTAAAACTACAGAGCTTTGATCATAAAACTAAGCATTTAAATATCATCTTACAAAAGGTCATTGCACACGGAGTCCGAAATTTTCGCACGTTAAAAAATAAATAGGACCTCACGCTGTGTCAATCACGTTTACACACTGTCTCCGAAACTTTCGTCCGTCATAAAAAAAATCGGATCAGGTTCGATTTTCTGCGTTTTCGCATCCGTAGCAAGCATTTTGATAGGAAAGGATGACGAATATGAAAAAAAAATTTCGGACTCAGTGTGCAAGGACCTTAAGACACATTATTGGCAGCTGTAGAGTGGCAACTGATATATGCATCTTACGTAAATAGGTCATATATACAATACATATAATATTATATACTGTATATTATACTTATATTGTTATAAAAAATATATTTATTAATATTAATTGAAAAACATTTTTGTGAAAAGTTTTCTATGAAGAAAAGTGCTTGTGATATTGTTCTTTGAAATAAATTGCATCTAAAGCAATTTTAAGTGTGGCTGAAACAATTTTTGTTCCACCTAAATGTACCACTTGAACGAGCAGCTCAAAACAATTATGATAAAACAAAATCTTACAAAAGCTTTGTCCATGTCTTTGCGAATATCAGAAATGATATTGGTGTTGTCACTGTGTGCAAGGACCGCATCCAGCGAGTGCTTCTGAATCGACTCGAGCAGACGGGCTGGGTGACCCAATCTTAAAACCTTGACCTTGCTCTTTGCCAGGCGCTCCACCAAGTTATCAACAGCCACATTGGAAGGAGCACAGCAAAGGACCTGTTAACATTTACTTAGATGTTCACCACAATACTGCATCTATACTACATCAAATAATGTATACCTTAATGAACCAAATTAAGAGTTTGATATCTTGCTCACCTTTTGTTCCTGTTTTACTGCCTGCAGGATTACTTCAACAACTGTAGTGGTTTTGCCAGTTCCTGGTGGTCCATGTATGATTGCAACATCTTTCTGAGATATCGCAAAGGACACAGCCTCTTTCTGAGAATTATCTAACCTAGTGTTGCTAAATTCCAGTGCATCTGCAATAAAAGAAATACAAACAGACTTAAGAGCCCATTGTACTAGGGTTTGTACAATGCTGTATTTTAGATCCCTTTCACATGCCACTCCGTGTATATGCTTACGCTGATGTGATAATATCCCTGGTTCTGAGTAACCAAAGAGGACACTGATCAGGTGAGATGCAGGACCACTGCCGTATCCATTTAAAGACTTCAAGGCACTGCAAGTAGGAAATACATCATGAATGCAACAACAATTTCATTCACACAATTACATGTATAAAAAAATAACTGATTGAATAAACCTGTGTATGTAGAGCATATTTCATCAAGCTAATTTTTTTAAATCCTAAAAATTAGAGACTAGATTTCTTTGAGAAAAAACTAATATTTAATGATACTAGTTGTATGGACTGATAAACGCACATACCTTGAGAGTCTCCTGTAGGTCACATCATTTGCCAGCTTCATTAGATTGTAAAGTCCATCTCTGTCCAAGTTCATACAATCTTGCGTGTCATCAAAAGCCACCGTCAGTGATGCTTGAGTAACACGTGTCACCACACCTGAACCCAACTGAGACGGCTGACCCTGACCCTCTGCCTGATACAAACCTATAATATCACCTATAAACAGAATACAAAAGATAGTAAATAATATTTGAGTTAAAATGTGAAGTGGCTCATTGGTCAGTATTGTATGAAATCAAGTACTTCAATAGAGAAGAATGTCTCACCAGGTCCAAAGGTGTTGCTGGGCAGAACTGAGGGTCCTATACTTTTCCTGGGTTCAAAAACTACCAGGAGTCTGCCATACATGCCAGTGTGCTGGCTTGCGATCTGAAGTTTCAGCAGGTACACTCCTTTGTGCTGTAGATTCTTGGGAGATAAATTCTCCCGCCATGCTCTGACAATAAAAACAATATTTAAACAAGAAGTTCCTCATAGTTGAATACATTTGGGTAATGGAAATGAATAGCTATCTAAATACCAATGAAGAACAAGTGTAGAACATAGATATATATAGGTATCATTTACCGTGTTTCTTCTAATTCAGCTTCTCTCTCTTCTTGCAGGAGCTCAAGAGTCTTGGAAACGAAGTTTTCAACCTCCATAGCTGTCAAATCAGCTCGATGGATAACTAAAAGGATATGCTTGACTCTTCCTCTGCTTATTTACAACTTATATAATAAACATTCAAATGTTTATAATGTAAAAATAAAAATAATTGTGCTTACTGACAAAAATGTACGGCTGTCATGTCTGTTTATATATTACAGCCATAGACTGTATAAAAACAGATTACAGCGCATGCCCTTGAAAAGGTCCGTCTCTAAATTCAATCCCACTCCGTACAGAAGATCCAGGCACTGTGATTTCGTCACGAACAGAAATGGTATTGAACTATTAAAACATAGAACGACTACATAATTATTTGAGATATATATAATAACATTTATTGCAAAGGTAAAGTACAAAATATTCACATTTTACGACAAAATTGATGCGGAACGTATATTTCCCCCCTTGAGGAGGAATATTGTTGTTGCACCGGTCATGCTCATCCTTTGAGAGAACGATGGAATGTCGACGGTGAAGATCTACACTCAATTCTTGTTGCGTTTAGCCGTGCAATAGTGTACCTTAATTGGGATATCTAAAAAGACTTGATTTACAGTAATACAGAATAATGGCTCGAGTAGTGAAAGTGTTTCGGACGTTAAGAAATCACTGGAAAAAATCCACATTTGCTGTGTGTGTGCTGTCGTATGGAGGACACTGGCTATATGGAAAGCACTGGTTTGTGTTATCTATCTATCTATCTATTTGTCTGAATGTATGTATGTTTGTCTACCAACTCATTTGCTGTACTTTTTTCACAGTGACAATGTGCTGCGACGAGAAGCATGTATAGAGGCCAGGGTAAGGAATATGTAGTTTGAAAATAACGTGCTCATAAATGTCATTTTAATATTTGTTAGTTTTATTTTTTTTCCATTTTTATTTCAGTTTAGTTATTTTAGTACATCAAGTTAAACTAAATGAAAATGAGAACTGTTGCTTTGGCAACTAGTTTAAATGAAGTAAGTTAAATAAATAACAAACTTCTTTTTTTTTTAGTTATAGTTTTAGTTAACTGTAATGACCCTGATACCCAGTACTCGAAGGTTCATTACAGTTAAATATATTGTATGTGATTTCCAGGCATTTGGTCATCAGTTAATTGGACCTCAGGAGCATCTGAAGAAAGCCATAGTCATTCTAAATCCTGCTGCCTGTAATAGGTATGATTATACACTTGGCCCTCACTGTGCCATAAATCAGTTTTTTTAGCTATGTCAGTTCATTTGTGTTATCATAGTTATATTTTCTCTGCAGAAAAGCTAATAGTTTGTTTGAGAAGAATGCAGCTCCCATTTTACACTTAGCTGGTGTGGAGGTCAAAATTGTGAAGGTAACATCCTTTATTGATTTAAGTGCTTAGGTCCTTTGGTACAGGTTCTTTTTGTATGTATTTTAGTGTATTAATAATTTGTGATTTGCTGTTCAATTGCCTGTAACAGACTGATTATGAAGGCCAGGCAAAAAAGCTCATGGAATTGATGGATCAAACAGATATGCTGATCATTGCTGGAGGTGATGGGACATTACAGGAGGTACAAAAGTATCTTCATAAAGTGGGATTATTTAAAAAATATATATATTTCTGACAATTTGACCATATTTAAATGTTTGCATGTGTTGATTTTTTCACACAGGTGATAACTGGCTTACTGCGCAGAGTTGATGAGGTATTTACTAGTAATAAAAAAAAGTCTTGTTTAAGTTATTAAGCTATATTAAGTTATTGCACATTCCAGAGTTTGCTGAATTTGAACTACTGTAACCACAGGAGACCTTCAGTAAAATACCAATCGGTTTCATTCCTCTGGGTTCCAGTAACTCTTTGAGTCAGAGTCTACATCTGGTTTCTGACAACAAAGTACAGTAAGTTTCATGAGTTCACTTTTCAAGAATTTTTTTGCCAAAGTGTGTTATGATCCGATGTCATCTATTTCTGGTTTTTCAGGCACATTACCTCTGCAACCCTGTCAATACTGAAAGGAGAAACTGTTTCACTGGATGTTCTGCAGATAAAAGTAAATTTGATTTTGAAAAGAACTCATTAAGGTTTTCAGCTTTTTTTCACACAGAGTTGATTGTGTAATTTCTGTTTTTAGAGTGAGAAGGAGCAGCCAGTGTTTGCTCTGTTTGGCTTACGTTGGGGTGCATTCAGAGACGTCGCTTCTTCTATCAGCAAGTATGCTTAGAAATTTTTTATTTACAGCATAAATACAAAATGCAAATGTGTATTTCTAATGTGAATTTTTCCTTGAAGATATTGGTACCTTGGCCCCTTGAAAACAAGAGCAGCACATTGGTTTAGTAGCCTTAAGGTGAGTGCTGCTCTTTGCATTGTTTTTAAAGGAGTACTTCAATGACATTGATAGCTCAGTTGCATCATATATTAAGGCCTTCATGTGAGTTAGTATTGGATAGATCACAATATCTTCTCTCTTACAGCAGTGGCCACAGTCTCACCAGGCCTCCCTCTCCTATCTGGCTCCTGTACCTCGTCCACCTGACCTTCCCACTGAATTTTGTATGTATTTTAGTGTATTAATAATTTGTGATTTGCTGTTCAATTGCCTGTAACAGACTGATTATGAAGGCCAGGCAAAAAAGCTCATGGAATTGATGGATCAAACAGATATGCTGATCATTGCTGGAGGTGATGGGACATTACAGGAGGTACAAAAGTATCTTCATAAAGTGGGATTATTTAAAAAATATATATATTTCTGACAATTTGACCATATTTAAATGTTTGCATGTGTTGATTTTTTCACACAGGTGATAACTGGCTTACTGCGCAGAGTTGATGAGGTATTTACTAGTAATAAAAAAAAGTCTTGTTTAAGTTATTAAGCTATATTAAGTTATTGCACATTCCAGAGTTTGCTGAATTTGAACTACTGTAACCACAGGAGACCTTCAGTAAAATACCAATCGGTTTCATTCCTCTGGGTTCCAGTAACTCTTTGAGTCAGAGTCTACATCTGGTTTCTGACAACAAAGTACAGTAAGTTTCATGAGTTCACTTTTCAAGAATTTTTTTGCCAAAGTGTGTTATGATCCGATGTCATCTATTTCTGGTTTTTCAGGCACATTACCTCTGCAACCCTGTCAATACTGAAAGGAGAAACTGTTTCACTGGATGTTCTGCAGATAAAAGTAAATTTGATTTTGAAAAGAACTCATTAAGGTTTTCAGCTTTTTTTCACACAGAGTTGATTGTGTAATTTCTGTTTTTAGAGTGAGAAGGAGCAGCCAGTGTTTGCTCTGTTTGGCTTACGTTGGGGTGCATTCAGAGACGTCGCTTCTTCTATCAGCAAGTATGCTTAGAAATTTTTTATTTACAGCATAAATACAAAATGCAAATGTGTATTTCTAATGTGAATTTTTCCTTGAAGATATTGGTACCTTGGCCCCTTGAAAACAAGAGCAGCACATTGGTTTAGTAGCCTTAAGGTGAGTGCTGCTCTTTGCATTGTTTTTAAAGGAGTACTTCAATGACATTGATAGCTCAGTTGCATCATATATTAAGGCCTTCATGTGAGTTAGTATTGGATAGATCACAATATCTTCTCTCTTACAGCAGTGGCCACAGTCTCACCAGGCCTCCCTCTCCTATCTGGCTCCTGTACCTCGTCCACCTGACCTTCCCACTGAAATACCACCCCGGCCGAACCTCCTCTACCGCATCTACCGCAGACTCAAGAACTACTGGAACCCTCCTATAGAAGGTGGTTTATCACTTTTATAGACATTTCATCATATAGAATATAGCTTATGGATATTAGCATTCTAATATTGTCTCAAAGCAGGTTCAAAACATAATCATTTATAAAACATAAATCGTTCATTCAAGAACAATGTCTTCAGTCATCAAGAGTCTATGCTGTGAACTTCACATACTTTTGAAAATCCAGCATTTAGCTGATCCTGATAAGTGCTCGTTGTTACAATTGTAAACACGGTGACTTTTTCCATTTTGTGTGTTTTATGAATCAGTCCATGGGTGTGACGTCTGAGGCTGAGACTAAAGGATGTCTAACATTTTAATTCATGTTTAATAATAATATATTTTCTATTGGTAGAGCCACCGAAAGAGTCTGAGCCAGAGCGATGGGAGAGCAAAGACATTTCCACATTGGAGCTCACAGTTAGCACACACAATAAGAACCCTGTCAAGAGAGTGAGTACTGACATAATAGTTGCTCTTCATGGGAATGTATGTATTATAAATTCAATAGAATTTGTCCTGATTGGTGTTGTTTACTGTCTTCAGCGTGAGGACGATTCTATGGTGATAACTCTGGACTCACACTCCCTCACAGTTGGTCAGTTCATCACTGAGGGGTGAGTGTCATTCACAAAACTGCTTGTGAAAGGAGAAATGGAAAGTTTACCTCATGTTGAATCAGTTGCACTTTTTTGTCTGCTGAATTTCAGTGAACTTAAGTTAATTTGCCATTAGAACCTTTCTAGGTTTTTGGGTATGAATGAATAATACTTTGTCATTCAGAACTAAGAAAGTATTGAAGCCGATGGAGTCCATAGAAGATGCTTCGCAGATAGAGGCCAGTGCTGCTAGTCTCAATCTCCCAGAGGTCAGTATATTATTTGAAAAAGTTTGGGGGACTGATTTCTTTGTAATCATCCATTGATCTAAGCTGTGATGCAGCCATTATGATCTATTACTTTTCTTCTCCTGTCCACAGGAGGGTGCCGGCTTTTATGACATTGACAATGAGGAATATGAGGCAATGTCTGTGGAAGTGAGACTGTTGCCACGGAAACTGAGGTTCTTTTGCAGTGCGGAGCGCAGAGAGCAGCTTGCACAGGCTCAGTGATGACAGTGATGGTTGTGTTAATATGTGTAGAGGAGCCTGAGGAACTGCTGATGAAACTGGAAAACATATCAGTTACAACAAAAAGAGAAGTCAAATTAACTTTTGAGTTCTCATAAAGGTCACCATACTCTAACTGAACAATCTGTGGTCTATGGACTTTAAGAAACAGCAGTTAAATTGTCATTTTGATGGTTTTTAACAGCATGGATGATGTTATTAACTTAATACAGGCATAATGTTCAGGTTTACTTTGAAT